CCGCCTGGTCGCGAAGAAAGGCGACCTGAATCTGCTGAGGTATGCACCAGCTTCTTAAGGAGGCTGTCCTCGTGGAGTTTCTATCCTTGAAAGCTTGACTTCAGGGTTGGGCGTCGTGTTTAGACCGTTCCACATAGCCATCGCAAGATAAAATTTTATCCGAAGCAGGCTTTTAATCGAAGAGATGACACCCGAAAGAAAGCAACACGCATGCGCCAGAGGAAAAAAACAAAAAGAAATAAGTCAGCAGACAGTCAGAATTCGCAGGCGATCTTTTGCTCGGGTTCGGTAAGTATCTTGCGCGTCATTGAGCTGTAACAGTATGGCAAATAACAATGTGCATGTGTGTTTTCGTCCTATTTGTAATGCCGACAGTCCCCCCATTTTTCGCGGTGAGATGTGTACTACACGGTTTTCAGTGGATGCAGAGTACTACACTTTCCAGCGTATTTTTACCTGCAACTACTTGACAACCAGCCAAGGTCACACAGGGGGGGGAAAACACCGGGGCCTTTTTTTTCTTTACATTTTTGTTTTCGTGCCCACCTTCCTCCTGCGGTGCGTGCTGAATTTTACTTTCGTCGCGAGAAGGGTCCAGCCGCCCCTTTCCCTCGTCAACGTGAAAACGTGTACTCACACATTTACTACTGTGATCTACATAAGCCGACACTCCCCCACAATAGCAGGCACCACCTCACCGACGGAATACACTGGTGACGCCTGTACATGGTCCACAGCCGATACCATCACAATACCACACCCGGTGAGAATAATGTTGCGGGAAAGCACTTAACATGGGCCAAGACGGAGAAGGAGTGCAAGACCAAGTAACATCACCAAAAATGCGGCGCCCCACAGAATAGCACCCCCGGTGGTGTTTTTCACTGATGGAGAACACCTTCTCACCAGGGGTGTTATGCATGTATGTGTGGAATGTCTTCGACGTTGTCACCCTACTGTAGGCGATACCCCTCCTGTATCTCGCCGTAGCTATTTGCACGATGGCGTGGCAAAGTGCATGCTGTGGATTCAACAACGCTTGTGCTAAGGACGTCGAGGAAATAGGCTTGCTGTCCAATGTACACGGTGTACTGCTTACATCCTCCGGGCGGTTGGTCCAATGTACACGGAGCGATTTATGGTATGTGTGCCGCTCCCAGGATCCTTGAGAGAGACAAAGATCCAACTGACGGCTGTTGACATTGTACTACTGCTGTGTAGTACGCACGTTGCCCACTGTGCTTCAAGTCTTCCTTGTTCACCCGACACAACGATTCCGAGGTTTCGCTACCGTGGGGGGTGTACCGGCCATCCTCACAACGATGTGCAACGGGACTACACGTAGCACGGCACCGCCATGCCCGACAGGAAAACTCTAGTCGTTGAACACAGATCATGATTCAGAACTCTTGCTGTCAACTCAAAACAGGCTGAAGTCGATTTGTTCACCCCTCCATCACTCTTGTTCTATTCTCACCTTCGAGAAGAGATAAGGACCGTCAACGACTCGATGCCTGCTATGTGGTATGGCGCCTGTATGGCACCGGCCGCGGCGACCGACATGGGTATAATGGAAAACCAAATAATTCGCATTTGGAAAAAGTTCCTCTTCGACCAGGGTGCCCCTTCAGTTACAATCCGTGCTGACTTTTATCTCGCCGCTTCATCACATGCGGGTGGGGCGTTCACTCACTTACGCGTTTACATACCCTCCGAGCCAGCGAAAGAAAGGTATGTGCGCCAACCTAGGCTCGATAGAAATCGATCATGGTCGGGTGCTGGCCTGCACAGTCGGACGTCTTGCGTGGCCTCTCTGTATAGTACAACGGACCTGGAACAAGTGCAGGGCTGCACACCCGTCTACTGCTTCAAGCAGTGCATGTACAACTTCGAGGGGTTGAGCCAGGCCAGCCAGACGCCCTCCTCTACTGCCACATGCAGCAATCATGTACCACGTTTTAGGCGGGCACGCCAATGGTGGCTTGGTGAACGGTCTACTGCCGATCGACTCCGCTGGCCAGCGACAATATTTGGTGGTGGATTTGTCCCGTTGGGGACGGCTGTGTACCGTGCTGAAAGCTCAATTCCCCCTTGCACACGGCAACCATTGCTTGCGTAGGCCATCCGGCCATTGTGCTTGCCAGCTTATACAGACATAGCGGACTAGTATCCTTCTCGACGATGTGAATTTTTGGTTTAAGTAGGGTTAAGGACGTGGGGTTAGGGTTAGGGTTAGGGTTAGGGTAGGGTTGGGGTTAGGGTCACCATGTAACCCTGTACTCCGCACAGTCTCCATGATAGAATCTAGTCTATTCGATAAAGGCTGACCATTTGACCACATGCACAGACATCCGATGACTGTGCATGTAGTCGAATGATCAGCCTCTATCAAATTATGGATTCACGCACGGGTTCGAATCCCAGTGGATCGCTTTCAAGGCACCATTATCGGCTAATAGCAGCATCTTGTGGCGAGGGGTCCGTCCCCGGAGATCACTACACCCTATCAGATCCACTGGGATTGGCTACGAGCCGAGAATGTATCTTTTATTCGATAAAGGCTGACCATTTGACTACATGCAAAGTCATCCCTCGCAAAGGCGGTCCCTACATGTCTACAAAACATAAGGGGATAGGAATCAAGCTGTGTGTCTTCTCTCTTCATAGACGCAGATCCCTTAGTGGTGTCTGTTGAAATGGACCCGGTGCTTGCTACCGCCTGCGTTTGGGAATATCTTCAGTCAGGGTCATTCTCTCATTTTCTGGTTTAGATTTGGGGCATCTTCGGGTCCTGGTTGTAGGAACAAGCGACGGAATACTGCCAGTTGGCATCAAATCGTTTCAGGGCATTCAAATTGCTGACGCTCCGACAAGTACTTTCCCGAAGCCCCAACAACTTGAACGGCCGCTCACAATCTGAACATTGGTGCATTATGGTCAGGTCACGATCTTGCACGAACGGGACAAAAGCTGACATCCATGGAGAGCCAAATCACGTCCGTGCTAAACTTTGAGCATGATGGGAAGGCGGAGCATATCAGCAGCCCGAGATCGCTCGAGGCCTGCCTTCGGTCGGGTTGCGACCCCCAGGACCTGATGCCAAGGCGAGAAGCACGAGCTAGCTCAACCTTTGCCACATAGGTTTCACAGGACACAGCGAGAGAAAGAATGAAGCCGTTGTCGCCTACCCGTTCGCTCGTTGCAGAGAGAAAGAGATGCCCTTGGATTTCCGTCGTCAGATTTATTTTTTTGTGTCCAATGACGGCAACATCAGCAACACCACCAGTACCCGCGTTTCTAACCCGAAACAGAGACACGACACGATATCACCATCACCATGACCTACACCACTAACAACAACCTGAACAACAACAACAACAACAACAACAACAACCTCAACATACCACCCAAAAACGTTTCATTACACACCGCAAATCCATGCTTGGACATCTGCAACCCACAGGAGCCCCAAGACCTTCGCCGTGAAAGGGGAGCTGCCAGAGCTGACGGAAATCCGACACAACTTCTTCGAGGCTCGTCGAAAAGGTCTTGCATGGGTTGTCAGTCGCCGTTGTCGTCGATCTGCTGCTGCTTGTGTTGTCGTTGGTGGTTTCACCTTCGCTTTCTGCTGCTGCCGTCGTTGTTGTTGTTGCTGTTTTTGAAGATGCTGCTGGTTAGGTTGCTTCCGCTTTTGGTCGGATTTAGGTTCGCAGGCAATGCCTCTGTCAGCGTGTTCTCGGCCAAGTGGCGAACGAACACTCGCCATCTTTTCCAGGAGCTAGCCAACAATGCTCATGCTAAAACAGGAAAGAAACCTGACGTACATCTCGGCATCGAGCCAAATAAGACACTCACAGAAGAATTAGATGTCTGCTTTGTCACCTCTTGCCTACTTCCTGATGGACGTGTTCAGACTTCGCGGAATTTGATCTGTGCTTCCCTTTGTTTGGCCTCAGAAAAAATCGCCATGGTGAAGAAGGAGCGGCAGTCCATCATCAACTTTCTATCGTCGAAGGAACAATCTGGTCTGCCCGCCCTCGGCAAGGTGCTACGGACTTTTCAAAAAGGGTTCCGACCACTTTCAAGTCCTACGACGCCTGTCATTTTTGTCATGCGTTCATTGGTGTGTCCTTCCTTCGATGCTTTTTGCACACATCTCTCTTTCATAGTGGATCGATCTTCATCAATTTCAAAATCGAGTGATGTCGCCAAACATGAATGCAACAGATCTACCTGCATTTCAAACCGAGGGATGTCGCCAAACAAGAAAGGAGCAGGGAATATATTCACCGGTCAGAAATATGTTTCCTCTACGGTAAACGGCCGCTCTGACCTTGCTACTACGTACTGCCTCCACAAACCCGCGCTCGTGCTTACGGCGTCGAGCGAAAGACATCTTCGAGGTAGTGGTCGGCAACCAGTTCTCCAGGGTTTATGTACAATGCTTGATTCATTATGGCGGAATATGTCGGACTAGCACGAAACCCAGGTGCCGCAGGTAGCCTACTGCTGGCACTTGAATCGACTCATCACGTATTTTTCATCCTTGGCCGATCGTCAAGCGCGATAGGTGAAACGTACTGTACCGGTGCATACGCTGGACACAAACTACTCGAACTTAATCAAACCATGCATGTTGCCCCGTTTCCGCGCGACCTGCCATCAGAGTGGGAGTGGTCTATTGGCTGGGGTCGCGGCTGCAAGCACAACAGACGTGGAGTTGGAAGCGAGGAGAATCAAAGCCGGCATCCTAGAAATCGTCAGTGTCGACGAGACATAAAGCGCGTTTACTCGGATATAACTCATGAACCCGTTTTTTTCCGCCTTGAGAAACCAAGTAGTTGGCCGTATCGTATAGCTTCCGGTAGTCGTAACTTGATTCCGAACACTTTTCTCTGTGAAAACGTCAACTACCACCGCTGCCACCACCCCCGCCGCCGCCGCCGCCGCTACAGGAGCGAAAGAGGGGGCTAGTGATCGCCGAGCGCCAGGAGAAAGAAATGCAGAGGCTCGTGGAGAACGAGCAGAGAATGGCCGACCTACACAAGAAGATACTCAGAGTGGAAGAGGTATGACTCTGCGAATGCGTGATCGCTACGGCCCCGTGATCCATGATGCTGTTCGCGGTGCTGTCTGTGGAGGGGGTTGGAGCGTGCTGGTGTTGGACATCACGTTATTAATTATATGTATTATTGGTGTTCATGGTGTTCCTGCTGAGGTGCACGTGGTGAGCGGCGAAAATCCTTCTTTGGGACTGCCCTAGAAAGCGGTAGAGTAGAGCAACGACGTGAGCGGTTTTGCGGTGTCTTCGTGGTGGCTCATTCGAAAAGGAGGGGGTCGTGGAACGAGTATTGATGAAATCAACAAACTTTATTGGCAAACAACATTTCATGACCCACAACCCCCCCCAGAATCTTCGAAGATTGCGGCTGAATCACCCCTTGATGTACAATGATTGACCTGCATCTGGGTGGTGTTGGCCGGCATCAGGCGGACGCGAAGCGGAGGGCGGAGCACGACCAGAGGGTGGCGCAGCAGCGGGCGGCGGCGGCGGAAAAGAGGGCCAAGAAGGAGATGGAGAAGCACGAGAGGGAGAAAGTGGAAGACGAACAAAGGTACGTGCAAGAGTGATAAATGTATACTTTCAGTGAGCACCCATTTCTTCTACACTACTGGGTTGGTGTTGTTGCTGTTGGGAGTGCTGCTACGCGGTTGATGCTCCGTTTTATGAGACAATCCACCCCCCACAACGACGAAAGTGCTTGGTTTTGGTGCGCAACGATGGACGCTCTCGTATACTACGACAGTCGTGTCGATCATTCCAGCAACGCTTCTACTGCTGCTGATTATGACGGTTGTCTTGCAAAGATGGACAGCGTGGTAACACTGGAGTTTATGGCTCTGGGTGATGAATGCTTCCAACGTATCCCCACGGCCGGATTTCACACGGGGGTTGGGCCATCAGGAAGGAGATGATCAAACGTGCGGCAGAGGCCGAAGCCCGACAACTGAAGATCGAAAAGGAGCTGGAGGTGCAACGGCTCGCCGAGGCCGCCAAGCGTGAGGAGGAACGGTAAGATGCACCGTACTAAGGGAAGGGGGATTTCTCTCCAGCAAACTCACGGTGAATTGTCTTGCTTCCACGTCCATCAAACAATGAAGATGCACAATGTTTCGCGCTTTTTGTTATCGAACGTCGTTTGCTAACATGTCTCATCCCCTCAACAGGTTTCTCTCCAAGGTCAAAGTGTCGGCTTGGTTAGCTGGTGCTGGCTGCAGGCCGGTACAACTTGTCCCATTTGCTGCCTAGCTCACTTTGCGCCGAAGTCCCTCGTCATCCGTTCCGTTGAAGTTGTTTAACCCTGCCCAGTGACGTGGCCAGCCCACCGCCTCAATCGATTAAGCTAGGAAGAACAGCTCGAACTGGTAGTAAGACTCGTGCATGGAGTCAACCCCCCAACTCTCTGCTCTGGCATTCAAGTGCCCACAGAATGTGCGCTTTGGTTTTTTCCGTCGAGTCAGGCGCGCCTTGAAGGAGCAGCAAGACCAGGCGACGGCCGCGCTGATCCGGGCCCAGGAGGAGAAGGCCGAGGCGAAGAATAGAATCATGGCCGAGCGGGAGGTCCGTCGGTTGGTCGTCTGGGTACCCCCCTCTGTTGTGAATCGAAGTCCGAATCGTCAGAGAGACGTAATGACGAGCATGAGGAATATCTGCCATAGATTGGTGCGACGCGGGTCATGCCTCCAAACCTTATCGTCGACAGTGGTGGGGACCCAGCCAGTTCGTTCTCAAATCGCTTGAAGGCTAGCTGCCAAACCGGGTCAGTGCTATTATATTATTATATGTCTTGAAGCCAGATATTTTACCCTGTGCGTGTCGCTGTCTGTAGTGCCTCGTCGAAACGTTGTAAACTCTCTGCATATATCTCGGCCTCTATCTCTCTCTGCCTCTCGCTCTCTTTCTTGATGTCGCATTAGCCACGGTCGTGGTTCCGATCCATGTCATGACTGACCGAACGATGTTTCCTCGATTGTATTCTCCTTTCTGGCGAGTGACCGCTGCTTGGACGTACTTTGTGTTTGCTGATGTTGCGACCACGATGATGTCGGGTCAGGCACGGGTGCAAGCCCAGCTAAACGAGAAAAAGGCGGCAAAGGCGGCCGAGGTGGCGGCTCAGAGGGCGTCTGCCGAGCAACGCATTCAGGTTTCTGCTTGTCTGCCTGTCTGTCTGACTGTCTGTCTATCTGTCTGTCTGTCTGTCTGTCTGTCTGTCTGTCTGTCTGTCTGTCTGTCTGTCGGTCGACCTGTCTGTCTGTTTTTCAGTCTCTTTCTGTATGTCTCTCTCTCTCTTTTCGACTGCGGGAAGCTTGTGTCCGACGCAACGCATCCTGTGCACCATGCGAGGTATTGTTCTGCATTGTTAAAGTTTCCGGGACTTCGGCTGAGCTCTTGCCCAACATTGTTCACGGCATAAGTGCAACTAGAACAACAAGAACGACCTGCCAGGTTGCTCACTTCAACCATACGATGCGGTGTACTCTACCGCAGGAAGTCATGGAGAAGAACAGGAAAATTCAGCAGGACAAGAAGATCGCGTACGACCTTAAGGTTGCCGAGGTACGATTGGGCACGCACGAGTGCTTACCACTGCTGTCGGAAAACTCACGGAGAATAATTGTGACCTGGCCAGAAATAAACTACTACTTCCTTCTCTCTACACCTCGATAAATCATGCCGATGCTGATGTTCAGGGAGTTATTTTTGTGGATCGTTTCCTATTCTCCGGGCTTGCGACGTAAGTCTGTTCCCCTCCCGTCAACCCTTCCGTTTGTACCGGGTCCCCACCATGTCCAACGCAGTGTGCCCCAATTCGGTCGTCTAACCCGCGTAAACGTTTGTTGTCGAGACTGCCTCTCGCGAGAAGCAACAAACGTCAGGCTGCCAACGAGCAGTGTGCTCTTCTCCCTTCGCGCAGGTGGCTCGCCGCAAGGCGGAGAGGATGGAGGGGGAAGAAGCCCAGGCGAAAAAGAGGGCTGAAGAGCAGGCGAAACAGGACAGCATCCGCGCCAAGGTGTGGGAGTTTGTGGACGACGAGGGAAGGGTAGGAACGCTCGACGAACGGGCGGAGCAGCACCGAAGGCATACATTGATCGCTAAGGCCTTGTTGTGAGCTTACAGTGTTGCATTCGTTTGGTACGGATTGATCGTTGTCGCGCGACGTCCGGCTGATTTGACTGACTTTCTCGGCATTCCCTCGCCGCCGGCTTACACTGCACGATTTGTACCTGGGCCTGGTCCTTTCCTTTGATTCAGGCCTGAAGGAGACACATAATTGAAATCAGGGAGATAAACTCACACAGAGAGACAGAGAAAGAGAGATGGAGATGAATCGCGCCAGCGATGAAGTGCTTTGCTCCAAAACCATTTTCTAGTTCATGTTCGGGTGCTCGTTCTGGCTTGGGCATGTGCATCAGTTTGGCTCCACATCCTAATCTGTCTGCCGATTCTGTCTGCTTGGCTGTCCGATGCCCCCTATCTTGCGCATCGTGCTTCCTACGGCAGAGGTTGGAAGCGAGCTACCAAGATCGCGCCGACCACCGGAAGGACATTCTTGCGCGCCGCCGCCAGAAAGATAAATTCTACGGCGAGGTATGCAGCGAAGGTTGATCGATGGTGAATAAGACGTTACGAAAGTTGGTAACGATTGAATTCGTTGGTGACGGAGCTTTTATCTCTCATCATCCATGTGGCCGATGTGGAGACAGTATCATTCAGACTCCCTGCTCAAAGATTGGCGCGAAGCCTGTGAAGTTGAGCATACTGGAACAACAACTACAACAACAGCAGCAGCAAGCAATACAACAGCATCATGAACGCCAGCAACATGCGCACTGCGCTACCTAGGCACCATTCGCATTTCCTACGGCAGATAGTTCCCTTGCCTTGGTGAAATCACGCGCCAAACGCGGCGTTGCGGCTTTGGCACTCTTCGGTATTACATGCAAGTGGTTTGTTTTTCGAAAGTGTTTCGGTGGAGAATTTCGGGGATTTTCTGCCACCATGGACCTGACTAAACATGGCTCGAAGTCTGAGCTGATGGTGAACGAGTAGAAGTTGGCAGGATCCATGCGAAAAAATGAAGACTACGGTCGTGCGTATGTCAAGTGACCGTATGGTGGAGGCAAGCGGGGTTGCCCTGTGAAAGAATCAACAACCGGGGAAGGCCGTTGAGTCGCTCCTTACATAGTGTGCGGACCAGCTTGGTTTCGAGCCTGCACAAGGTCTCTCACTAGAATGGGAAGCAAAATATTATCGAAGGGAAGATCCTGCCCGAAAATGCTTGGAGCGCTACAGAGAGCTGCTCTTCCCCATGAGGAATGTCGCCATGCCCCTTGATACAAGGTCACAGCTCCACGCCCCGGACTACACAGACTTGGAACTGTGTTGGCTTCAAATATCGTTCTTTGAACTTTTACATTGAACTCCATGTAGAGCAGGGGAAGGTGAGGTGATTGGGAATGCATACCACCCCCACTTGACGTCTCCCATGGTTGTCCTAACGCTAGTTACACAGGTTCTTTCCGGTGGAGGATGACACGCATCGCAACGGCGGTGTCTGAAGTACTAGCTTTTGAACCGAGAAATATCCTGCTGTCAACGTGTTTGAATTATTCGAAACGAGCGGATACAGACGCGAAAAATCTGCCAGGTCTGAACTACAAGTGTGCATTGTTTACGACACCTCACCGACGTGCAGATCCGGAGCGAGAGATGCAAGGACCTAGCGATGAAGAAGCTGTACCACGACCTGGTGATGGAGGATAAGCGACAAAATATCGAAAGGCCCGTGTGATCACTGTCCCACAGTATTGGCACTCTTCCTACGATGACTCCAGGATTGTCTTCGAAGCAGTGCACGTAGCTCGCGTGACGTATTATTCCATCACCATCGCTACTGTTGACACGCTCTGGTCGGGTGACGATTGACATGTGTGCTCGCCTGGTAGGAAAATCGAAAAGGCCCGCCTTTGTGTCCCAGATGCTATCGGTCTGGCGTGAAACTGCAGTTTTCGGTGGCAGAGCGGATTCGAGGTATTTAGCTCACGAAGACCCTACGTCGTTAGGCATTTCCCGTATTCTTTCTGGGCTCCCTCCTAGAACGAAGTCAAACCTGTAGCCGACAGGTAGACAACCCTTCGCGGGATACCGAACCCTCGACCTTTTCCTTTCGCTGTCGTATTCACCGTGGATGCGGAAACGCGTCAACGGGTGGCTGATTTGACATTGAGAAGTGTCTCGGTTTTTAGCTTCAACATGGTTTTTCCAGAGAACGCTGTCTCGCCCCACCCCTGCCCTTCTACACACTCCCTGCCTGTCCGTTTGTCTCTCTCGCACACACCCACTCTATTGATTTCCTGCCCAATCTGTCTGGAACTGCCCGACTCACTCAGGTTGCGTAGGGTAGACGAGTTCGTACGCCTCCAAACGCTATTGAGGATAGAGCAGGAGACAGAGCGGACAGAAAAAATAAAGGCCGAGCGGGAGTTCCTCGTGGAACAGGTGAGAGAAGAGGTTTTGTCAGCCTTTCAACCAGCGTTAAGAACGTGCAGCTACTAGCGGTGACGTCGGGTTTTCGGGGGGGGGGGGGGTACTCATAGTCGTACATGCCGTAGGCGTTAGACCATTGACCTCGGGTTTAAGGAGGGGGGGGGGTTAACGGGGAGGCCACACATTCAGCGCCGTGGTTTACCTGTTTTGTGGGTTGGTCGTCGCGCACTCCCCGGCAACACGGTTGTCAGGCCTACAGCGACTGTGTGTACGAGGGAATTAAAGCCGAACGTGTTGGCGTGTCGATCAAGTCGTTTCGGTGTCCTCGCTCGTAAGCCTAATGGCACGGCTCATGTTTTCTCTGGTCAGCCTTCTTTTGCGCTCCCGGCCAAAGCGTTCTGGGAGTGTTCACGTCATGCTTAAGGACCGACTAACATCGATCAATGAGGAAAGCCAATCTGACTCGGTGCGCTCTGGCCGACAAAATGAAACCTCAAACAGTAACCACATTTCCTGCATTTTGCAAGTCTTACTCTTCAAGGGCTCGGTCCTTCATGTCTCCTTGCGCTCTCTCTTTCAATAGTCTATTGGAATTTCGTCGCCGTCCACAAGAATACATGCATACACGTCGACCGGAAAACACTTTCACAGCGCATTGCGGTAGCCAACAAGGCGATAAAGAAAAAGCACAAGATCAAGGAGGCCATGGAAAAGATGAGGGCAACCAACAACTTCCACGGCATCGACGCTCTACTGTAAGAACCGAACCCGCAGCTATATTCTGACTTGTGCTGTTGATGTTACAACCAGCATTGTTGAAAATTTATGTGGTGATGATGGTGTTGGTATCTTGTGCATAGATTTTCATCAAATCGATACACTTTAAAGCGTCGTTCAAGCAACGAGTACTGCCTTTGTTTCACCTGGGCTCATTCATATTTCAGCCAGATCTCCACACGATCTCTGTTTTGTAGTAGAAGCGCGACTTTGTAGCAAAATAACCGCTACCGGACCGAAAACATATTTGTTTCAGCAAAGCGGAACCAGGTCAAGCGAGGGACCTTCAAAAACTCTCCAGCTACACACTTTCTTAGTTCAGTTGGAGAGCCCCTTGTTCCCAACCCGAAAGAGCTGGGTTTGAAATCTCCGTATTTATTTCTCGAGGCACGAAGTAATTGATGCAAGTTTCGATAATTGCTTCTGTGCAACATGGCGAAGTTCGCAACCCCGATGACGGGGTCAACGGTAGCCCCGCCAGGCCGTTCATTTTGTTTACTAGCAAGACGTACACGATCACACTGCATGTATCAACTCCTCACATTTCCATGCACAAAATGGCAATCTGCTTGCTGGAGTACATTCGTTCACATAAATACTTCCAATGGCACGCGTACAGTGGCAGCAATAGCAACAAAACGTAGCTCGGAGACGTGTAACACGGGGTTCATTCGGAGACCACAGGGTGAAGCTCAGCCAAAATCTGCGCAAGGATATCGGTGGACCGAAATACAGTTGAACGAATCGAGACCTGACGCTTGTTGTTTCAAACGGATCGCAGAGACGGGCTGGACAAGCGCCGGCGCAAGTCGAAGGGGACTGCAGATACAGACCCCGCCGCCGGTACTGCCGCGGCCGGGGCGACGGCCTCTAGCTAGAGTTCGTGCTCTAGCATTTCGTGCCACGGCATGGGTCAAGGGTTGAGTGCCGGTCGATCTGGTTACATTTTATTGTCGTATTTTTATTCCGCCTGTTCTTTTTTTGTCAACCCCCATTTGGAGTTGTGGGTAGACTCAGCGAGCGAAGGCATTTATACACGGGATGGAGTGGATAGTTGGTGGAGAAATCTTCTAGAATCTTCTTGCTTTCAGCGTCTGCCTCCGTTCAAACCTCGTTTTGGTGCCGGTGGTAGCGGCACCAAGCGTAAACGAAAGTATCTCGAATAGAACGGGAGAGAATAAGCACGGAGGAAGTAGGCACACGTATCAACATCCCGGGCGAGGACACCATATGTGGCAGCACGCAACGGCAAACGTGAGTGTCAGCGTGGCTAATGTCCTCTTCTTGGTGTGCGAAAGGTTGGTGTGATGTCGACTCGAAAACAATTCCGTTCGGAAGGTTTTCGGGGAAGAAGTGAATAGACAACAGTCCGGTGCTGCGTGCAACAAATGGTCCTAACGTAGTATTTCTTCCATGGACAGACAACGAGTACATACCGCTTCCTTCTTTTCAATCGAGTTGATTGGCGATGGATTTTCTTTCACCCGCGTTCGGGAACGGCACATCACCCGGGGGACGGCACAAGCAAAATTACCACCAGAGCAACGAAAACAAGACCGAAAACGACAGACGTCTCAATTGGAGTGAAGAACTCATGGGGCCGAGCAATCGCGTGAGAGTGAGCAGAAACAACCGGCTTTGACGTAGCATGGACAATGTTTGTCCTACGAATCAGTGACAGGTTCGGCTTGATTGTATTCGGACGAACCCGCTTGATCGCAGTCTAGGTAGTCCCACTAATGGTGAAAAGCGACGGCCAAAGGGCCGCCAGTTCACCGCCCATGGGACGACGGTCCGAAGCTATGGTGCATTGGCTGCCCATGGGCCACCCGTGGGTTCCTACGA